TGGATACCAGCTGTTAGAGTCACAGTTTAAGATCACTGCTCCTCTGTTTCTGTCAATCCCCAGTAAACTGATGACGGGCGAGGAAGCAGTATCTGATGCTGAACAAAAGGAAAAGTTTAAAACAGTGATGTCAGTGGAAGAGCAATATTTATGGTTTGGACAAAAAATACCAATCTCCAAATTATCCAAATAGGAAAATAGTCTGATTGAATGAGTTTCAACATGTGAAATAAATGTGAATGGAGAAAATTCACATTTCCTTATCCCACATAGATACAATTTCCATTGGACTCTAAATCTCCTGTTTGAGCCACTGAAAAGCTTTACCACTTTGTCTTGAGAGGAGAAGTGTAATGCCCAACACCCACCATAAATAGCACACAGGTGGGATGTTTGTCATTATTAATGACCCAAAGACCTTTTAAGATATTTGTGTGTGACTTACCTCTATAACATTGTGTCAGGAGGAAATAGACAACCAAAACCTTGAGGAGCCTGGGTGGAGATTGAAGAGACAGCTCGTCCATCTGTGTGAGTATCTTAAAGTTCTGAAAGTTAAGCACACACAGTTTATTAAAAAGTTTATCTATCTATCATTAATTTGTTTATTCATTAATTTGACCTGACTTGAATAATGTATATATGCAACTTTGTAGTACTTAGGAGGGCATACGTAATACATATTTATCACACTCTTCCTTTTTGTCTTTTCTTTTTAATTCAAACCAAAGGTGCTGTGAGAAATGTCTGTATGTGTCCTGTAGATGGAGTTATGCTTACCTTTGTCAATGCAATGAAAGAAAGGTGGTTTGCTGTCTATGTATTGTGCAATAATGATAGTGTTATACTTCCTCTTTTGTTGCAAACAACAGACTTAAAACTAATTTGTTTAATATTTCAGCTTACACTACAGTATACACCCTCAAATAAACTGTTCAAAGTAAGAATACAGTTTTGGGTCAAAGAAAAGACCCGCTATGACCGAATGAAGTTAAACTAAGCATGTAGAAGAGGCAAAAATGAATCAGACGTACCTGTTGCACTTCAACAGACTGCATGGTCTAAGTCTGTAAATCATTGATTGGCTCATCTCATGATATTTTCTTCCCGCAATCTTCCAGGTAGACAGTCAGTGTTTCATAAAGGAATTTACAACAACTAAATAAATAAGCTTAAATAAATTAACTTAGAGTATCTTGGCTGAACATCTGAACTTTGATGAAACTTTAATGAAATATTAATTACTATAATATAATAAATTATACCATTAGGCTCTTCTCTGATGAAACACTGCTTGTTTAAATAATAATAGTAGTTGGAAACAGTAGCTAATGGTCTGGAAACCGCCAGCAGGAGGTTTAACTCCTTTGTCTTTTCGTGGAGTGCTAGTTTGGATTTAAGTGATTTTGTGCAACAGCAGTCTTAAAAACTGATTTCTGAATGATATGTATCGGCCCTCAAGATGCTTCAGATGATAGCAATAATGAATTTGGATAGAAAATGACAGTACAGACTGATTGATAAAACACATATGAAAGGCATATGAAAAGTCCCCCATTTTAAAATTGACAGGAATTCACTGTTTTATTTGTGCCAGTGACGGCACCACTGTGTCTGTGCTAATGTGAAAAGGGTCAGCAGAGGGCGCTCTGAGCTTAGTTGTGTCACTGTGCATGGCTCTTGCTGCATTACGGCCCACTTCACAGCCAACAGCAGCAGTAGCAGAGCTGATCATATGAAAAGTGTAGCTGATCATCATTAATATGCTTCACACGTCACCCCTGTTTAAATGTGCTGCAGTAGTCCGGACCCAGTGTTCTAATCAGAGTCTGTGACTAATAAGATGAGTGATGAGGCATCATAATAGGGAGTGATGTCTTTGTACCAGCTGAAAATACCACCTGTAGGATGTAAAATAATGACTTTTGCAAACACATCCTTTACTTTGTTCTCAGTTTGAATTTAATTTAACATTGGGAGGATCACATTTTTTATTCATTCCTTTTAAATAATACATGCAAAGCTACTCTTAGTATATTGTTACCTTAACTGATTTTCTTAAGTTGCATTAACATTAATGATATACAAATAATTAATGTTAATAGGCATCACAATTGTTGTACATTTGGATAAAAATGTCTTTAAAAAAATGCTTTTTGAGTTGTAATCAGCAATGCTTGGAAAGAGTAAAAAGACAAAATCACAAATTACTTTTATTTAACAAAGATCATATACAAGAAACTTTTTTTTTGTTGATATATTGTTGCTAATGTTTATTAAAAAAAAACATTATTGTGACATGTGACTGTGATTATTTTCATAAAGCATTGGTAGAGGTTAGTGGAGAGCTCGCCAGAGGAAGACAAAAGGAACAATTTATAATGGTTCTCTTTATTTGAAAAAAAATGTTTTATTGTCTTTAGTCATTTCAGAAAATACACAAATCTTTTTTTTATATTTGAATAATGAGTGGTTTCTGTTCACAAATAATTCAACAAAATATAAAAGACTGTACAAATATGTCTTAATAGGTATAAAATATTTATTTAAAAATTGCAAAGTAGTTTTTACAGGACATGTGCAGGTCAAAAAAGTCTGGATATATCTCGGGTTTAGGTCAGATCTTGTCCACTCCAATGTCTTTGCAGTAACATCCAGCGCAGGTTGCAGGTGACATGGCAAAATGATGTCATCCCCAGCTCCTGCCAGTATTGA